TTTGGCTACGGTAGCTCGTCGATTTTGCCCAAATTAGTCCATGCATTTTTTATTGCGCCGGCAACCGCTGTTTTTTTTTAGTTTTGAAAATGCAAATTAATATTTTCGCAATTAATAATGTTTCAAAAAATCGCAAACTTATATCAATTGAGTTTCTGATCGACGGTATGCAAATTACTCAAAAATTCAAATTAGGGAGTTTTGCTTACCTGACGTTTGTTTGTAGTGGCGATTATGCAAATTAGTTACCTAAAAATACCAAATTTGGGCAAATTAGTCTACATGCTTAGGCTTAGGCTTGGGTTTAAGCTTAGGCTTAGGCTTAGGCTTAAGCTTTGACTTAGGAGTGGGCTTAGGCTTAGGCTTAGGCTTCGGCTCAGGCTTCGGACTAGGCTTCGGTTAAACTCAAGCTTCGGCTTAAGTTTAGGCTTAGGCTTAGGCTGAACTTAAGCTTCGACTTACGCCTAGGGTTCGGCTTAGGCTTCGGCCTATATTTAGGCTTATCTCACCGGAAATTCACCCAAATTTGTGCGTAATCTGTGTAGCTCCCCCAGCGGATCGTCCTGATTCACACCCATCCCCCCATTGCCTATTATTTGTCCCCCTACCGTACCCCTCCACTGCTCGATTGGCTTTGTCGGTGGGCTATCAGCTGAGACGAAATAATCCCCCTGCCTATTCCGCGGGGCTCCGATTGACGGAGCGCGGGGAGGCTGATTCATGATTACTACGATCATCGGCCGCCAAAATCGGGTTTAGTGCCAGGGGAGAAGGAGAGAGGGAAAGAGAGAGAGAGAGAGAGAGAGAGAGAGAGAGAGAGAGAGAGAGATAAATAGTGTTTGCCCATATATCGAAGGGTGTTTGGGCATTGAATTTGGCGAGGCGCGAAGGGGCTGGCAATAATTTTGGAGAGGATTTTTGCGTTGTTAAGGGGTTTTCGTTCTTCTTTTTCCCGCTCTTCTCTCTCTCTCTCTCTTGCTCTCACTCGCTCCCTCTCTCTCGCTCCTCGGGCCGGCTTCCCGGTCCCTTTAAGCCCAGCTTATTTTGAAAGTAAGACCCCTGGCAAGAATATGCAAATTACGCGGTCCAATCGCGCGAGGTGCCGCTCATAAAGGAATCGGGAATGAGCCGCGCTCGCTGCTTTCCCACGCCTCATATGGAGCGCCTCAAAGTGCTGGATCATTTTTGGGGGATCATGGCTTTTTGCTTCATCTCTCTCGCTCTCTCTCTCTCTCTCTCTCTCTCTCTCTCGCTCTAGCCTCTCATTTTCATACAGCGGTAGGGCGCTTTTTAGGTGTGAATCAACGCCTTTATGATGCGCCGACAAGAGGCACCGCCTGGGCTAAGCCTAAGCCTAAGCCTAGGTCCAAGCTTGGCCTAAGCCGAAATCAGCTTAAACTAAGCCGAAAACGAGGCCTAACCTGAGCCAAAAACGAAGCTTAACCTAAGCCGAAATCGAAGCTTAGCCTAAGCCGAGATTGAAAGCTTAAATTTAAGCAGGAAATGAAGCTTAGCCTAAGCCGAAATCGAAGCTTGACTTAAGCCTAGGCCCGCGTTTTGAAGGGATCCGGCATGCAAAATCTACAGTATTCAAAAGCGAAACCGGCATATTTAGTCGATTCTGATTTTTCCTCTCTCCCTTTCTCTCTCACTCTCTCACTCTCTCACCTCTCTATGACTCAGTGTACGACCCACAACTCTTCACAAAGGCCGCCGTATGCGCCAAAGCGCGTCTTCGGCGTGTTGTGGCTTGACTTGCACAGCCCCCACGGGCCCCGTGGTGACGACCAACAATATACATATGATTCCCGGGCTTTGTCTTTGTATTCCTCTCTCTCTCTCTCCCTCTCTCTCTCTCGCTGTCTCTCTCTCACCCGCTTCGGGCCCTTTAAAGGGCCGCGAAAGGTTGGGATGCCCTTTTTTCGGGTGGGCCAACTCATCACCCAGCTTTGGTCCGGGGAATACCCCGGAAATCATAAAGTTTGCGGCTTCATCTTTTGTTATCTCTCTCTCTCTCTCTCTCTCTCTCTCTCTCTCTTTCTCTCTCACCCTTTATGAGTTATTCCTGAGTGATTAAGCTGATAGCGGCGGTGCCGGAAAGTCTCGTTCACTTTATTTCGTTTCATTTCCAAAACTTTCCGCCAACTTTTGTAGCGTCTAGGGAAGCGGCCCGGAATTTTTGGCGTGGCTACAGTAACTGGCAATTTTTTGATGAATGCCTTGACTGATGAAGCTCGGAATTTTTTAGCGTACTCGCGCTTAATGTTACGTGCCGTACAGTCGTGTACTATTGCGTATCGGGCGCGTACTATAACGTAACGCGTAACGCGCTCAGGGTACTGCGGCTAGCATAGCGTACGGTCGCGTACTGCTACGCCGCGTATTGTTGCGTGATTTAGGGCTTTGTACGCGTCCTACGGTACTTCACTGCATTCTACCTAGCGTAGTGTACTATCGCGTAAGATGATGTACCACATACTTTGGCGAAGCGTACTGTAGTACATCAGCGTATTATCGCGTAGCGCATCGTAATGTAGCGTACTGTCGCGTACTGTCACGTATTGTGTAATCTAATTTTGTCCTTTTTGTTAAGATACAGTATCCAAGATACGCCGTCAAAATTAGCACATTGTCCTACTGTATGATTTGCCCTTGGCTGCAAAAAATCTTTTTTCCTCTGTACGCACAGCTGGGCGGCCAGACGCTAATTCTGCACTTTCCGAGGGCAAATTATGCATCAGGGTTTTTTTAAAAATGCAATAAGCAGATGCGTGGGTCCCAGCTGGGGCCTTTTTCTCAAAAATTTCTTTGGCGGGTGACGGTAGACTACTGAAAAGGTTGCGCTAAATTTGGGATGGTAAAGCTGCAAAAATCCACCAATTTTTGCCTTCCTGGGCCCTTTAAACCCGAAAATTCCGCCGCGCTACGCTAATTCCGGGCCTACAAAAACCGTCGGGCCGAATTAAGGGATCGAGGTGGTGGGGGGGCAAGGGCGCCTCGTAAATCGTGACGGATCGCCGGTGTCGGCCTCCTCTAAATTGCCTCTCTCTCACTCTCTCTCTCGCTCTCACACACTCTGTCTCTCTCCCTCTCTCTCTCACTCTCTCGCCCTCAGATCGGCCACACGCTCATTTATTCGTCATGGTCAGGGGAGGAGGAGGAGGAGGCTGGACAGTCTCATGCAAATTAGAGGCCTTCGCGCCAGGTGAGAGAGAGAGAGGGAGCGAGAGAAATGGCCTTGCTCCGCCCACTCCCCCATACTCTCCTAAATTTGAGGACCACCCCCCTGACAGTCATGCTCCAAATGAATCGACGATGAATTTGCAAAATTTTCAATATTTCTGTGCTCGATTCTGGAAAATTCTAGATACTGTAGAATCTTGAATTTTCTCTGTTTTTATTTAGCTCTCGCTTTTCATTCTCGTTCTCTCTGTCTCCCTCTCTCGCTCTCGCTCTCTCATCATGCCGTAATCTTAATGTTTACCTTAATTTAGCACCTATACGAGTGTTGTCACCTGCTTTTCAAATTTGTAATTTCGTCAAGGAAATGCCCTATAATCGCCTCCGATCTCTAGACGTGCTCCTAACGACCTTTTTTGCCGGAATGGCAACAGTTTTCCTCAACTTTTTCCGGATTTTCAACTCGATCTCTTCCTCTCTCTCTCTCTCTCTCTCTCTCTCTCTCTCTCTCTCTCTCTCTCTCTCTCTCTCTCTCTCTCTCTCTCTCTCTCTCTCCCCCCCCCCCCTTCCCCCCCCCCTCTTCCTTCCTCTCTCTTTTCTCTCTCCCTTGTCTCCCCCCTTTCCCCCCCCCTTCTCTCTCCCCCCCCCCCCCCCCCCCCCCCCCCCCCCCCCCCCCCCCCCCCCCCCCCCCCCCCCCCCCCCCCCCCCCCCCCCCCCCCCTCTCTCTCTCTCTCTCTCTCTCTCTCTCTCTCTCTCTCTCTCTCTCTCTCTCTCTCTCTCTCTCTCTCTCTATCTCTTTGTCTCTCTCTGGCTCACGCTCCTGCTCTTTTTCTTGCCAACTCGCTTTATCTCACTAACCCTCTTGCTCGTTCTCTCTCTCATTCTCTGTCTCTCTCGCTTTTTCTCTAACTCTCTCCGATTGGTTATTTCTCCAAATTTTCGCTGCTAGTTACCCTCAAATTCGAGGAGTCCAAATTCTCATCAAATTTCAATATTGCCAATTCCCGAAAATCGTCCCAATCGAGCCCATTTTCCCATCACCCCGGCAATTTACCGACGCGCGCCCCGATCTGTCAATAACCATTCATTCAATTCATCCATTGCATATATAGCAGTTAGGGAGGGCGTGAGTGAGCACGAGAATTGAGAGGAGCCAGAGCGCCGCGAAAACCAATTAGTGTGGCGGATTGATTGAGTGGGGGGGGGAGGACGGACAACGCGACTGTACTCATTACATTTCAAGGGTGGGGCGCTACACAAAGACCCATCCAATACCATTCACACGACCAGGGGGGAGGGCATGGAAATTGGGGCCGGATATGGGTATTGCGATGGAATTTCGAATGGGAATTTGGGTTTCTCGGTTGCTGTCTCTCGCTGTCTCTCTGTCTCTCTCTCTCTCTCTGTCTCTCTTTTCTCTTTTTTTTCTCTCGCTCGCTCTATCTCTTTGAATTTTTCGATGCGACAAGGAACGCTAGCAGAGAACTGTATGGCGAGCAAAGAATGTTTCGGAATTTTTCTGTTTTCTGATTCTTGATCGCGCGCGCTCTCTCTCTCTCTCTCTCTCTCACTCTCTCGCTCGCTTTTTCTCTCTCTATATCTCTCTATCTCTCTCTCTTTCTCTCTCTCGCTCTCTCTATATCTCTCTCTCGCTCTCTGTCTCTCTCGCTCTGTCCCTCTCTATCTCTCTCGATCTCGCTCTACCACTCTCTCGCATTTTTGAGCGTACCAGCAGAGATTTTTGGGAAAACTTTAGAATCCTAGATTTTCCGATTCCTGAAATATCTCTCGTTTTCCAGGCGGGCGCGGCCTCGAACCCGATGGCCATGTTCAACAACCTGCTCAACATGGCCCAGCTGTTCAACATGAAGCCCGGGCAGTTGCTGCGTGAGTTTTTTTGGCTGGAATTCTGTAGCATCGAATATTCCAGCTTCCACCTCCTCGTCGAGCGACGATGACGCCGCTGCGCCAACCACCGTCGCCGGCCTGCGGCGGATGATCGAGGCGATCGGCGTTGAGGAGGTATCCGAAATTTTGAATTTCCCTTCAATGGTCCTTTAAAATTGGCTTTTAAACCCGAATCTGCATTTATTAGACATTTTGAGGTTTTGATTGGCTTCATTGGTCCTTTAAAATTGGTTCCAAAAGTTGAAATTTGCCTTCAACAGTCCTTTAAAACAATTGCGGCATCTAAATTTGCCTTCGATACCCCGTTAAAGCCCATTACGCCATCGAAATTTGTCTTCAACAGTCCTTTAAAGTTATTTACGCTATCTAAAGTTGCCTTCACGACACCTTTAAACCCCGCGTTTCCAGTTCCCCGACTCCCTCCAAACGCTCCTCACTCGCCTCGACGACCTCCCCGACACCTGCGTCGCCGAGTTGGCCAAGTCGGAGTGCGAGAGTTGCGCCCAAACACTTCCCAGCCTCCTCGCCCTCAAGCAACACCAAGAAGATGCTCACGACGGCCAGCTGAGCCCCGCCCACCTCGAAGCGTTCACCCAACGGCTGGCAAAGACCATTGAGGAATCGGCTGTCGAGGTGTCGAATCCAGGGTCGAATGAGAGCAGAAGCTCTTCGAGGGATGATACGATGGAACCGCCGGAGAAGGTATGTAAGCAGAGAAGCTGAGCCTAAGCCTAAGCCTATGCCTATGCTAAGCCTAAGCGTAAGCCTAAGTCTAAGCCTAAGCCTACGCCTACGCCCAAGCCTAAACTAATCTTTTACTACGATTTAATAACCTCATTTTTCAGAAATCCCGGAACGAAAACGACGCCTCTGCCGGCGACGCCACCGCCCAGATGATGCTCAACATGATGCAGGCCGGCTTCCCCTTCCTGCAGCCGAACCCCTTCCTGCCGATGGACGGCTTCTTCAACCCGCTACTGGCGCAGCAGGTTGGGCTTGGAATTATGGGTTTTGAAGCTAGCTTGGCTTAAGCTTAGGCTTTGGCTTAGGGTTAAGCTTAGGCTTAGGGTTAGGCTTAGGCTTAGCTTACTTTAGTCACTTGGTAATTTTGGCTTTTCAGATGGTAGCCCTTCAAGCAGCTGCTTCTCCTGCAAAACGAGCTCGCACCAGAATCACCGACGATCAGCTGAAAGTCCTCCGCCAATATTTCGACATCAACAACAGCCCCACCGAGGCCCAGATCCGGGAGATGAGCCTGAAGACGCAGCTACCCGAGAAGGTCATCAAGCACTGGTTCCGGAATACGCTGTTCAAGGTATGATTGAACTGCTCGAAAAGCTTCGGCTTTCTCTGGACTGCCCGAAAAACTTCGGCTTTTTGAACTGCTCGAAAAGCCTCGGCTTAGCTGCTCGGAAAAGACTTCGGTTACTTCTAAGCGGCTCAAAATGCTTCTGGTTCTCCTGAACTGCTCGAAAAGCTTCGGTTCCTTTTGAACTCCTCGAAGCGCTGGGGCTTTTGCTGAGCAGCTCGAAAAGCTCGGGCAGGCTAGCAGAGATTCTTTAGGAAATTCAGGGATCTGATTTTCATGTAAATTTTTCCAGGAACGCCAACGAGACAAGGACTCCCCGTACAACTTCTCCATCCCGCCCCAAATGGGCATCGACTTGGACATGTACGAGAAGACGGGCGAAACCCGCGTGCATCCCCTCACCCCCGAACAAATCAACGGCTCCGGCAGCGGCCCCGCCCAAATTTCCGCTTTCCCGACGGTACCCCACGTCGAGAAGGAGGTCAAGCAGGAGAAGCTGGAGGAGAAGAAGCCGGCCCAGCAACAACCCATGAATTTACAGGCCGCGCTGGGAGCTGGGGCGCCAAATTTGGCGGCTATTTTGGGCAGCTTGCAGGTGTGTTTTGGGGTATTTGAGGGCAAGCTAGCGGAGAGTCTTTGAGATCAGGCACTATAAGGGATATTTCAGGAATTTCTAAGGTAGACTAGCAGAGATTCTTTAGGAAAGGGCAGGCTAGCAGAGATTTTTACGAAATTTCACACCCTAAACTAATCTTTTTGAACTGCTCGGAAAACTATTGGTCCTCCTGAACTGCTCGAAAAGCTTCGATTTCTTCTGAAGTGCTCGAAAAATACTGCGGTTCTTCTGAACTGCTCGAAAAGCTTCGGCTTTTTTCTATTTTTCAGCGAGCTACTGTTATTTTTTCGGGCAGGCTAGCAAAGGTTTGTTAGGAAAAGGCAGGCAAGCAGAGATTTTTAGGGAAATTTCACACCCTAATCGTTCTTTTCCAGGGTCAACAAAACCCGTTCTCATTCATGCAAGACAAGGAGGTGTTCGGGAATCTTTTGGCCGGAAATCTGAACCCGATCTCCCAGCCGACACCCCCATCAACGGCTGGGCGGAGGGCAAACCGGACGCGATTCACGGATTATCAGCTGCGGACACTTCAACAGTTCTTCGACAAGCAGGCCTACCCCAAGGACGACGACCTGGAGCTGTTGTCCAAGAAGTTGCAGCTCTCCCCGCGGGTCATTGTCGTGTGGTTCCAGAATGCGAGGCAAAAGGTTGGTGGATTTCTGATCTTTTTAAAGGGACTGGGAAGGCAAAAAAGTGGTTACTGTAACAGCTTCTGTGCCAGCTGCAGTACCCCTCGAAAATTCGGTTAATACCCAATTTTCAGGCCCGAAAGATCTACGAGAATCAGCCGAACCTCGAGAATAGCGACCGCTTCGTGAGGACGCCCGGCTGCAACTTCCAATGCAAACGGTGCAACCTCGTCTTCCAGCGATACTACGAACTGATCCAACATCAGCAGAAGAAGTGCTACAAGGACGATTGTCAGGTACTGTAGATTTAATTGATCTTTGCTAGCTTGCCTCGGTCATTCCTAAATGGTCGCTGCTAGCCTGCCCTTTCCTAAAGCATCTCTGCTAGCCTGCCCTTTCCTAAAGAATCTCTGCTAGCCTGCCCTTTCCTAAAGAATCTCTGCTAGCCTGCCCTTTCCTAAAGAATCTCTGCTAGCCTGCCCTTTCCTAAAGAATCTCTGCTAGCCTGCCCTTTCCTAAAGAATCTCTGCTAGCCTGCCCTTTCCTAAAGAATCTCTGCTAGCCTGCCTTTCCTAAAGCATCTCTGCTAGCCTGCCCTTTCCTAAAGAATCTCTGCTAGCCTACTTCCTGAACGTCTTGAACTCGTGGCAGCTACACTGATATAACCACATCGATTCCAGGCCCAACTCCAAGACAACAAAGGCGTCGAGGGACTGCTCACCGACGCCGAGAAGGAGCAACTCGCCGGAAATCCGGAGGCCCCGCCCCTCTCCAAATCTCCGGCCCTCGCCGACCCGGCCGAGCTGCTCAAGCTCCTCCAGGGCTCCGGCTCCACAGAAGCCCTCCTGAAGATGTGCGAGGCAGCCAAGACCCCGTCCACGACAACATCGTCAAGTTCAACGACGACAAGCCCGCATTTCCACAAGCGATGCCCGTTTTGCTGCTTGCTGTTCCGGTCAAGGCAGTCGCTGGCTGAACATCTACCGGCCAAGCATGGACTGCAGCTACAGAAGGCGCCTATCGACATCGATGCGTTGCCGAGTGCGGATGATGTGGGTTTTTCGGTCTAAAGGGACTGGCAAGTCTCAAAATCGCAGATTTTTACGTTTTAAAGGGTTTGGCAAGGAAAAATTTTCCAGATTTCCGTTTTTAGTGGATTTTAAAGGGGCCGGGAAGTCCAAAAAGTGGTTTTCCGCGTTTTAGAGGGCTAGAAAATTCCTATTTTTGTTTTTCAGGTGCCCTCATTGTCCTCAACGCTTCTGGGTGACACGTCGATCCCACTCGACCTGTCATCGAACGGCTCCATGGAACGACCCGACCTCTCGGTTTCTCCTTTTTTAGGTGGAGGCTCTGATGGTGGGTTCTCTTCCTGTCCCTCACTCTCTCCCTCTCTCTCTCTCTCTCTCTCTCTCTCTCTCTCTCTCTCTCTCTCTCCCCCCCCGCCCCCCCATCTCTCGCTCTCTCCCCCCCCCCCCCCCCCCCTCCTCTCCGCTCTCTCTCTCTCCCTCTCTCCATCTCTCGCTTTCCAGGTGACGACCAGGGAGATGACATCTTCTCCGCCCTGGCCCACAACGCCATGCAATCCACCTCATCCCAAGGAGAATCCCGAAGCCCCGCCAATAACAAGCGATACCGTACCCATCTGACACCACTTCAAGTCCATGTTATGAAGTGTATCTTCTCGGAATATAAGACGCCTTCAATGTCCGAGTGCGACACGTTGGGACGGGATATTGGTAAGGGATTTTTGGGGGAGGCTAGCAGAAACTCTTTAGGAAAGGGCAGGCTAGCAGAGATTCTTTAGAAAAGGGCAGCGGAGGCTTTTTGAACTGGCTTTTTGAAAATTCGGGTTTTTCCTGAATTGCTCGGAAATAATCTGGTTCCCTTGAACTGCTCGACAAGCTTCGGTTTCTTCTGAACTGCTCGAAAAAGACTCCGGTTCTGCTGAACTGCTCGAAAAGCTTCGGCTTTTGTCTATTTTCAGCGAGCTCTGTTATTTATTTCGGGCATATTAGCAGAGATTCTTTAGGAAAATGGCAGGCTAGCAGAGATTCTGTAGGAAATTCGGTCACTTCTAGAGGCAAACTAACAAAGATTCTTAGAGATTTTTTTTGTCATTCTAACCCCGCCCCCGTTCAGGCCTCCACAAGCGCGTCGTGCAAGTGTGGTTCCAAAATGCTCGTGCGAAAGAGCGAAAAACCCGTGTGGCCAACGGCCAGGACGACGACATCTCCAGGCCGTTCCCCACCCAGTGCAGCTACTGCAACGTCGAGTTCTCGTCCCGTGTCTCCCTCCAAGACCACGTGTTCTCCCAGCCCCATCTGACCGTGTTGAAGTCGTTGCACCAGGGCGATGAGACGGAGACGGCGACGAGGAGTGTCGAGGAGAATGGAGGACGACAAAGAGCACCTATTGTCCGGGATTCGTCTCCAAAGAAGGGAGCAGCACCGCTGAATGCGCACGAATTCCCGTTTAACCTGCTGAACTTTGGACTGCCGCAAGGTAAGCAGGGATCATTTGGGAATTGTCCGGCAGGCTAGCAGAGATTCTTTGGAAAAGGGCAGGCTAGCAGAGATTTCCCCAAGAATCCCTGCTAGCCAGCCCTCAGCCTATCTTGCCCATTTCAGGCTCCCTCCCGATGGTGTACGACCCGAGCGTGATGGGCACGCCGATTCCGCTGTTGCAGATCCCGGAAACGGTCATGACCCAGATCACCACCGACTTGAGCGAGGGCCGGATGACGACAAAGTTCACGCAAGATGGGCTCGCGTTTGAGGAGCTGATCTCGAGCCTTGACGAGGATGATGCAAAGTGTGCGGCGCAGAAGAATATGGAGGTGAGGTTCTCTCTTTATCTCACTCTCTCTCTTACTCTTTCTCTCTCTCTCTCTCTCTCTCTCTCTCTAATGTAGTGCATTACGGTATTAAATTCTTACTTTTCAGGTCGGCTGGGCGTGCTCCCGATGCACGAATGTCTTCCAACAAGAAGCTCTCCTCAAATCCCATCAGAGGTTGGTTTTAGGGCGACGGAGAGAGAGGGCAAGGGCGAGAGAGAGAGAGAGAGAAAGAGAGACAGAGAGAGAAAGAGAGTGAGAGAGAGCTAGAGAGAGAGAGAGAGAGAGGGAGAGAGAGAGAACTTCCTTACCTTTCGTATTCCAGGACAATCTGCTCGCAAGCGGAGGGCCAGCTCGTGCTCGTCCAGACCCACTACGAGTGCATCCCCTGCGGCCAGCACTTTGGCACGCAGGTCGACTTCAAGGTGGGCAGTTTGGCTGGACTTCGGCTTAGGCTTTGGCTTGGTCTCAGGCTTAGGCTTGGTCTCAGGCTTAGGCTTCGTCTTAGGCTTAGGCTTGGTCTCAGGCTTAGGCTCGTCTTAGGCTTAGGCTTGGTCTCAGGCTTGCTTGGTCTTGGCTTAGGCTTGGTCTCAGGCTTAGGCTTGGTCTTAGGCTTAGGCTTGGTCTCAGGCTTAGTCGTGGTCTTAGGCTTAGGCTTAGGCTTAAGCCTAAGACTACCATGAATTTTATCTAGTTTTATGCTAATTATGTCATTTTCAGAACCACCTCCAAACTGATGAGCATCGCGTCGCGAAAGTTGCTGCTCTCTTCCCAACTTCTACCGTAACCACCTCCGCCTCGACGGCCAGCCCGCTGGCTTCGTTTTAGGCTTCGAAAGCTTTGATTTTCGGCTTCGAAAGCTTCGATTTTTCACATTTCACACCCTCCAATTGCCAGTAGCGTACGGTATATGTCACAACTTTAGAGTAATTTCCTGACTCTAAGCTAGCCCAAGCCTAAGCCTAAGCCTGAGCCTAAGCCTAAGCCTAAGCCTAAGCCTCCTCTGCCTAATTTGCATCCAACCTTTTCTCCTAAAGTGCTTTAAAAACTTCGCGCGCTTTGTCATACCCCCGCAGTGCACTTGCTTTAACTCATTTTTGCATTGATTTTTTTTCAGAAATTTTTTATTCAAAATTCTCACCATTTTCCTAATAATTTTTGATGTGATTTTGTGGAATTTTGGTACCCTGATTTGCAATAATCCCCCCTCCCACCGCCCAATATTTGCGGTCTTCTCGCGACGCCACTAGCAATGAGGCCTTGTCATTTGCGTAATTTGCATAATTTTTAAGATTTTGTATAGTTTTATAAGCTTTAAATTTTTGGCTTTAATGCGTTGTCGAGTTTCAATTCAACTTACACATTCCCCGGATTTTTTGGAAAGGGAAATTGGCTGAAAATGTTTGAAATTTGTATTATTTCTCGAAAAACTTATGTCCAAGTTTGTCCAAGCCTAAGCTAAGCCTGAGGCTAAGCTTAAGCCTAAGCCTAAGCCTAAGCGAAGCCTAAGCCTCAGCTAAGCCTGAGGCGAAGCCTAAGCCTAAGTCGAAGCCTAAGCTAAGCCTGAAGCGAAGCCTAAGCCTAAGCCTAAGCCTAAGACCGCCAGGCCAAGCCAAGCCTAAGCCAAGCCTAAGCCTAAGCCTAAGTCGAAGCCTAAGCTAGGCTAAGCCAAAGCAAAGCCTAAGCAAAGCCTAAGCAAGGCCTAAGCAAAGCCTAAGCGAAGCCTGAGGCTAAGCCTAAGCTCAGCCTAAGCCTAACCTAATTTGCGTCCAGCCAATTTCCCACCCAAAAACCGCCGAAAATTCCGAAAACTCAGCAAGCGTGTGCGTCACACATCGTTTAATCCGAATTGCGATTTTCTAGCCCCCAAAATCTGCATATTAACCCGCAAAAACACCATAGTAACTAGCTTAAATTTAAAATAAAAATTAAAATATTAGAAATTTTTAAAATCGCTGATCCGCCCCCTATTCAGCGCCCCGGTTCCCTTGTGATCCCAAAAACCGTAAACCCGAAAACCCCTGGAATTTTTAATAGAATTTTGTATTATTTTTGTGTGTGATTTTGCATTGTTGCCAAATTGTAGTCGTTGTGCTTTAATTCGGAATTCTTTAAATTGCCCAATGCAGCTATTAAGCCACGCTATTAATGCGCCCCGATCCCGAAAATGTGCAAGGATTTTTTTATGCTAATTTTTGTGTGTTTTGGTGTTTTTTTTTGGATAATTTGAAAATTGAGGTATTGATCGAGTGTGGATAAAGGAAATATTGAAATATAAACTGGAAATGCACACTAAAGGGAAATGGACATGTGAAAAAGGCTTCCTTTTCTGAACTGCTCGAAAAGCTTCGGCTTTTTGAACCGCTCGAAAATCCTGGGCTTCTTCTGTGCAGCCGGAAAAGCTTTCTGGTTCTCCTGAACTGCTCCAAAAGCTTCGTTCTCTTCTGAACTGCGCGAAAATCCTGGGCTTCTTCTGAGCAGCTAGAAAACCTTCTGGTTCTCCTGAACTGCTCGAAAAGCTTCGGTTTCTGCTGAATTGCTCCAAAAGCTTCTGTTTCTTCCGAACTGCACGAAAAGCTGCGACTAATTTGGACTGCTCGAAAATTGCGGGCATGCGAGCAGTGCTTCTTTGGGGAAAGGCAGGCTAGCAGAGATTTTTTGGGAACGGGCGGGCTGGCAGAGATTCTTTAGGAAAGGGCAGGCTAGCAGAGATTCTTTAGGAAACGATAGGCTAGCAGAGATTCTTTAGGAAAGGGCAGGCTAGCAGAGATTCTTTAGGAAACGATAGGCTAGCAGAGATTCTTTAGAAAAGGGCAGGCTGGCAGAGATTCTTTGGGAACGGGCGGGCTGACTTCAAATATTTATTCAAACAATGATCTTGATCACTTTTCAAGTAATTTTTCACGACACATGCATCACATTAACGCCAAAATTATTCGAGTAGTCCCTGGGTTGCCACCCATTCTGTCCGTTTTGTCCGTTTTGGCTGTTGAAGCCGTTGTTTCCATTGAATCCATTTTGGCCATTTCCGTTGTTAAAGCCATTATTTCCGTTGTTTCCATTATTTCCGTTCATTCCGTTTTGCCCGTTCTGGTTGAAGTCGTTTCCTAAAACGCAGAAAATCTACAGTAAACCTAAAAATCAGTACCGTTCGGCTGTTGGGGCTGTGTTTGGCCGCCGGCGATTCGGAGGATCTGAAAAATAGCGTAAAAACCTGAAAAATTCCCTAATGATCTCTGCTAGCCTGCTTCAAGAGTTTCCCAAAAATCCGTTTTGTCTGCTTTGTCCGCTAGATTCCCGATTTCTGGCGTGATTTCCTAAAGAATCTCTGCTAACCTTGCCCTTTCCTAAAGAATCTCTGCTAGCCTGCCCCTCCCTAAAAATCCCTGCTAACCTGCCATTTCCTAAATAATCGCTGCTAGCCTGCCCTTTCCTAAAGAATCTCTGCTAGCCTGCCCTTTCCTAAAGAATCTCTGCTAGCCTGCCGTTTCCTAAAGAATCTCTGCAAGCCTGCCCTTTCCTGAAGGATCTCTGCTAGCCCACCTGTGCAAGCAGGGCCCTTTTGTCGTTGCTCATCGTCGACAAGGTCGTCTCAATGGTTTGGACTGAAAAAGAAAGTTTAAAGGACCGTTGAAGTCATAATCCATATGAAAATCCGAGCTTACCGATCTGCTGCGTCGTCAGGGAGGTGTTCTTCTGGAGGGCGAACAGCTTGGCGAGGACCTTTTGCATTTCCACAAGGGTCTGGGTGGCGTTGCCTAAGGTGTTTTTGTACATCTTAGAGCTTAATATTCCGGAGCCTAAGCCTAAGCCTAAGCCTAAGCCCAAGCCTAAGCCCAAGCCTAAGCCTAAGCCGAAAATTAAGTCTAAGTCAACTCACTCTGCAGCTGCAATGTCGTGTTCGTCTCCTTGGCGACGTAGGTGTTGTACTGGGCCTAAAACCAATTCCATTGCGTAATTGGTTGGTTTCGGCCCTTACCGTAACATTGTACGTGTTGGACCACTTGAGCAGCGCCGCGTCACGTTGCGCCAGGGTTTGATTGGTCTGAAAAATGACAATTTAGAGGGCAGGCCAGCAGCGATTCTTTGGGAAAGGGCAGGCTAGCAGAGACCGTTTGAGCACCTACCTGCTGAATGATTTGGGCAAAAGCTTGGCGAGCTTCGACCGGGGCTTGGATGACAAAGTCGGGCAGCGTCGTCATCGAGTTGCCGAAAGTGTTCTTCTCCAGGTTGCCGTTGTCCTGAAAGCAACGTGATTATGAGAAGCCTAAGCCTAAGCCTAAGCCTAAGCCTTAGCCTAAGCCTAAGCTTCTGCCTATAACCCTACCTGATTCTGCCCAAATCCGCCGATCTGACCCTGCTGGCCCTGTTGGCCGCCAAACTGCCCTTGTTGGCCCTGCTGCCCGAACTGGCCTCCTTGGTTCTGAAAATAGGCGAACCCTCAACGATCGCTGCTAGCTTACCTGGTTGTTCTGGTTGCCGAAGGGGAGCTGCTGCTGGCCTCCTTGCTGACCTCCGAATTGCCCTCCCTGCTGGCCTCCTTGCTGACCGCCCTGGTTCTGATTCTGGCCCCAGGGCTGGTAGCCGTTGGCGCCGTTTGTGTTCGAGTTGATGGGTTGGCCGGGTCCGGGCTGAACGAAATTTTTATTCGGGCGATTTTTAGGGCCTACGAAGATTTGCTGGTTGCCGTTTTGGCCCTGGCTGAATTGACCTTGTTGGCCTTGTTGTTGGTTGCCGAATTGGCCGTTTTGTTGGTTCTGAAAAGGTTACGTAAAAATCGTAGTGGTAAATCGATGAAGCGGGGGAGAGACAGAGAAAGAGAGAAAGAGAGAGAGAGAGAGAGAGAGAGTGAGTGAGAGAGCGAGCGAGTGAACGCGGGAGAAAGAAAGCCGAAGATAGATAGAGACAGAGAGAAAGGGAGTACAAAAAAAAGAGAACTTACCGGGAAGGTTTGCTGACCCTGCTGACCCTGTTGGCCTTGCTGTTGGCTGCCGAACTGGCCGTTTTGTTGGTTCTACAATTATTTTAGTAAAAAGTCAAGCGGTAGAGAGAGAGGGACTGAGATAGAGAGAGAGCAAGATAGCGAGATAGAGAGATAGAAGCCGAGCAAAAACCTACAGGAAACGTCTGCTGGCCTCCCGGCTGTCCGTTCTGGTTGTTCATTCCATTTTGGCCGTTCTGCTGCCACTGTAACGAGCAATATAACGGAAAATTGTATGCAAGGTTACCGCGAGAATCTGCTGTCCCTGTTGGCCCTGTTGGCCTTGTTGTTGCTGGCCAAACTGGCCGGGTTGCTGCGGTTGCTGACCGCCTTGTTGGCCAGGTTGCGGGCCAGATTGGGAGCCCTAGATTGGGTTTATAGGGGTTTATTTCGCGATTTAAGTCGCGCGCTCTCTCTTTCTCGCTCTCTCTCTCTCTCTCTCTCTCTCGCTCTCTCTCTCGTCTTACCGCTTGTCCCGGGATTCTGAACTGGGCGGAGACGGCCGTGACGGCGACGATGAGTAACTTCAGGTGGCCGAGCATGCTTTAAAAACTAATTTATGTATTTTTGGATAGCGGAAATCACAGGCAAGCCAGCAGAGATTCTTGAGGAAAGGGCAGGCTAGCTGAGATTCTTTAGGAATTGATCTCTTTTTTTTTTTTTTTTTTTTTTTTTTTAAAAAAAAAAAAAAAAAAAAAAAAATATAAAAAAAAAAAAAAAAAAAAAAAAAATTTATTTATTAAATAATAATACTGTAATTGAAATGGGCAAAAACTGTGGCTAACACTATACAGCCCAATACTAATCTGACATGCGCACCCCCCACATTTTATGTGGAAAATTCAGAGGTGGGCCCCGGGATGTGTTGATTTAGCTGTCGGGTAGCGGATCGGCTCGTAGCCGGCCGTTTTTTGGCTTTTCTGGAATAATAAAATTTTGGGGTCGCTAATAATGAGTCAGCAAGTAGCCAACAGGATGGAGAATGATCTATTAGTCAGCGAGAGAGAGATGGAGGGAGAGAGAGATGGAGGGAGAGAGAGAGAGTGAGAGAGAGAGAGAGAGAGAGAGAGAGAGAGAGAGGAGAGGGATAGGGCGAGGAGAGAGAGAGCAAGAGAGGGGGAGAGAGCGAAAGAGAGAGAGCGAGAGAAATGTAGTTTAGCAGTCATAGCAGCAATAAGCTTTAGCAAATATTATTCTGCTAGTTTCGCGACGTGTTTTGGCTAATTTTTCATATTTGTTTTAGGCTGTCTGGCGAGAGAGAGAGAGAGCGAGAGAAAGTGAGAGAGAGGCCAGACAGACAGATGGAGAGCGATATAGAGACCCAATTTTTACCATTTTCCCTTCTCTTTATGCAAATTTCATCAATTTCTCCATCCTCTCAATGGTACAAAATATTTATTTCTCCAATCAATATCATTTTTCTTTGACAAAATTGAGCGACACGTCGAGGGCAATAGGGAAATGAGCAGCACACTCGCAATGTAGATGACCAGCTGAACACGTAGAGCGGGATGGCAAGGGATTCGGTAATTAAATCTCAATTTAAAATTTGGAAATCCTGGAAATCAAAAAATATTGAAACAAGTGAAGAAATAGGCGACGAATCTTGAATTTGAATCTGAAGGCTTTAAAGGGACCGGCAAGTGTAGGGAGAGGGAGCGAGAGAGAGAGAGCGAGAGAAAAAATAAAGAGCGAGAGAGAGAGAAAGAAATTTTAATTTGTCTAACTACACCTAATAAATAATAGAAAATGAATAATTAAGCGAGTATTTTCGCGAAAGTCGACTTTTCTATTCAATTTCCCTGGCGGAGCCGTCGAGCTCTTCAGAAAGCGATGAGGTGGATGTATCATCATCCTGAAATTCTTATAGTTTTGAAGTTTCCTCAAAGATCTCTGCAAGTCTACCCAAAACCTCACTTCCCAATCCCTTTAAACGCACCTGTCCACCGTTCAGGTACGGAATTTCGACCGGCTCCTGATTTTTCAGACCTTGATGATGATGATGATGATCCTTCTCAGGGGAGCCGTTCAGTTTTTTGTGTGGCGTTTCCGGTTCCGCTTCCGGCTTGATTCTGTGCTCGTCTACCAGTGTTCCGGGGCCGTCATCAGGTTCGACCACCGATTCTTCCGGCTAAAAAGGTTTTTATTCGCTACAGTGAAGCTGACCAGGCCTAAGCTTAACCCAAGCCTAAGCATAAGCCTGAACTTAAGCCTAAGTCTAAGCCTAAGCCTAGGCTTGAACCTAAGCCTGAGCCTAAGCCCAAGCTCAAGCCTCTGCCTGAACCCAAGCCTAAGCCTAAGCCTAACCAACCTCCTCAATCTCGTGAGCAGCTACATCAACCGGATCTTCAGCTACAGACTGCCCAATGGCCGCGGCGATCACTTCAGTTGGGCTGTCGAACCATCTAGAAGTATGGCAATCTAGCAGGTATTATTGAGGAAATAATGCCAAAGAGTCTCTGCTAGCCTGCCCTTTCCTAAGGAATCTCAGCTAGCCTGCCCCTCAAAAACACGCACTTGTTCTCAATCTGCTTCACTTCCTCCGTCTGCTTCTCCTTTTCTTCCCTCTCTTTCTCGTACTGCTCTATCGACAGTCTTCGATCCAAATGTTTCTGCTCTTCGGCTTGGCGTCTTTTCTTGAGTCTCCAAATAATGGCCGTAATTAGGGCGGCTCCCCTTCCGGATCCGTCGCCGGTTTGAACGATTTTGAACTGAAAAAGAGGTTTTTTGGGGTTTGCGCTTTTAAAGGGATTCTGAAGTGAGAATTCTTTGGAGCCAGACTTCTTCGAGCCTTTAAAGGAGCGGTTAAAGCCTGGCTATGGATTTTCTGGCTTTGGCCACTTCCCAATCCCTGTAAAATCCTGAAAATCTTACATCTAGCCCGGGCTCGATCAGCTCGCGGATCTTCTCGTACACCCAGTGCTCGAAGAAGGGGTGGTATCTAAAAAATGGTGGATTAGGCTTAGGCTTGGGCTTAGCCTTAAGCTTAGCTTAGGCTTGGGCTTAGGTTTAGGCATAGGTTTGGCTTAGACTTATGCTTCGACTTTTTCTTGGCTTAGGTTGGGCTTAAGCTTGGGCTTAGCTGAGGCTTCGGCTTGGTCCTAAGCTCAGGCTTGGGCTTAGGCTTAGGCTGACGCGTTAGCTTAGCTTAGTCGTCTGCCTAAGCTTAGGCTTAAGCATGGGCTTAGGCCTGGCTTACAAAACTTACTTATAAGTCGACCCGTCAATTCCCACAATCATATGCGGCTTTTTGACCCGATTTAGCACGCAGGCGATTGCTAAAAATCCATGGATTCTTGGCTTGATCGGCCCGTTCGATAGGATGATAGAAAACCTACAAGCTGCCGCCAGATTCGCTGCTCTTCTGGAGACGACCACGCAGACTTCTCTGAAAATATGCAAATCAAGCTATCTTCGCTTTTTGACCCTCTCTCTCCCTCTCTCTCTCTCTCTCTCTATCTCTCCCTCTCTCTCTCTCTCATCCCCCTTTCTCTCTCACCTAAACAACAGCATATCCGAAAATGTATAGTCATCGATCCCCAGCTCGCCCATAATTTGCCGGGTATGCACATATGAGCCGCAATCATCACTAAAATGCAAAAATCTTCAATTTCCAACCTTCCCGCACGGCTACGGTAGCTCTAACTTACTGTAGAATCTCAGAAATGTATTTGGTGGGGAAGGAGCCGATTGTGAAGAGCGTCTCCGAGCCGAGACCCTCGAAGAGAACCTGGAAAATGAGAGGTTTCCTCAATGACCTCTGCTAGCCTGCCCTTTCCTCAAGGATTTCTGCTAGCCCGCCTCAATTCCCAAATAATCTCTGCTAGCTTGCTCACCTTTCCTCTGGTCAGCTTTTCTAAGACGAGTCGGACCAGTTCTCCCATGCACATTCCAGCAATCAGCTTGTCCAGCCTGAAAATCAGGTAAAAGCGGCTTCCGATAAGCCCAGGGCTAAGCCTAAGCCTAAGCCTAAGCCTAAGCCTAAGCCCAAGCTTAAGCCTAAGCCTAAGCCTAAGCCTAAGCCTAAGCCTAAGCCTAAGCCTAAGCCTAAGCCTAAGCCTAAGCCTAAGCCTAAGCCTAAGCCCAAGCCTAAGCCTAAGCCTAAGCCTAAGCCGAAGCCTAAGCCGAAGCCTAAGCCTAAGCCTAAGCCTAAGCCTAAGCCTAAGCCTATAGTAACTTCCAAGACTTACGAATTTACACCCGGATGATCAGATCTTTTGTCGACAATCTTGTCGTATTCGGTGAAGATGTAGTCGGCTTCTCCCCTGTCGCCAAAGCCGCCCCACTCCGTGTCGATGATCATCTACAATTTTCGAGTTTAAGCCTATTTTTAGATTTTTTCAAGTCTATAAAGGCACCTGGAAGCCCAAAAGTAGCCAAATTTTTGGCGCCTGGTCCATTTAAGTCTCGAAAGATAGTTTGAAAACCGACTTGATTGTAGTTGTACTTCTCGGTGGCGTTCTGCAGGCCGTAGTGGATGTTTTTGGTGTTTTCCATGTAGGAAGCGTTGGTGCCAGTGCCTAGAAAAATGAGAATTTTTATTTGGAGGCGAAGCCTAAGCCAGGCCCAAGCTAGCCGAAGCCTAAGCCTAAGCCTAAGCTTAAGCCGAGCATATGCCTAAGCCTATGTCTAACTCTAAGCCGAGCCTAAGCGAAAAGCGAAGCCTAAGCCAAGAGTTGAGCCTAAACCTAAGTCTAGGTTAATTCCAGGCCTAGCCTAAGCCTAATACTGAGCCAAAGTCAAGCCCAAGCCTATATAAGCATAAGCCTAAGCCTGAGCCCAAGCCCAAACCAAGCCTAAGCCTAAGCCTACACTCACCAATAATCACCCCAATATCGCATTGCCCGTTATTCTGATAGGCTGCGGCCACCATCGTGCCCACCGTGTCGTTGATCAGCGCCATGATTTCGACGTTGATGCGCTGAAAATTGAGATTTTCCGTGTCACTATCCCTTTAATTTTTGTTATAATCTGTTTTCCAGCTGTCGCTGTCCCTTTAAAACCCACCCCATCTCTCTGGATGGCTTCCTCGAGCATTTGGACGACATCTCGGCCCACGCAACCTTTGGCCGTCACGCCCTTGGTCCATCTGAAGCAGGTGTCACAGTCCCTTTAAAGCTACACCTACCGTAATAACGTAGCGGAGCGTAGTGATGTTTGGTTGCAGGGGTAGGAGAAGGTGAAGCCGACTGGGAGACCGTCCTGGTCCACGCCTTTTTCGATCAGGAAATCGGCCAGGGCCTTGGCGATGAAATCGAACAGCTGGAAACCAGGTTTTAATTCCTCAATGGTCTCTGCTAGCCTGCCCTTCCCTAAAGAATCTCTGCTAGATCGCCTGACCTGTACGCCAGTGCCATGCTGTGCCCAGTTCGGCATCCTGGTGTTGAATTGTTTGCAGCGCATCTCCTCGCCCGGCTCGATCTCCATGATCATCACCCGCAGATTCGTCCCGCCCAGGTCCATCGCCACGAATTTGCCGCGTTCTGAAAATTATGGTAGATGAAGCCTAAGTCTAAGCCTAAGCCTAAGCCTAAGCCTAAGCCTAAGCCTAAGCCTAAGCCTAAGCCTAAGCCTAAGCCTAAGCCTAAGCCTAAGCCTAAGCCTAAGCCTAAGCCTAAGCCTAAGCCTAAGCCTAAGCCTAAGCCTAAGCCTAAGCCTAAGCCTAAGCCTAAGCCTAAGCCTAAGCCTAAGCCTAAGCCTAAGCCTAAGCCTAAGCCTAAGCCTAAGCCTAAGCCTAAGCCTAAGCCTAAGCCCTAAGCCTAAGCCTAAGCCTAAGCCTAAGCCTAAGCCTAAGCCTAAGCCTAAGCCTAAGCCTAAGCCTAAGCCCAAACTAAGCCTAAGCCCAAACCTAAGCCCAAGACCGAGCCTAAGCCTAAGCCTAAGCCGAAGCCTAAGCCTAAGCCCAAGCCCGAGTCTAAGCCTAAGCCAAGCCACATACCTGAACCATCTGGCAGCTCTGGCACGAAACTGGACAGCATTCCGATTGTGCTTTTGGACAGACCGCCTTGTAGCCTGAAAATAGTTATGGATTCCTGGTTTCAATGGGTTTTAAGATTTAAGATGCTGATTTTTCTTTCAAAATTGGCTTAATAAAACTTTTAAGCCGTTTAAAATTTATCATAAAACGTCTTAGTTCCAAAATTATGCCAAAAAATCCCTTAAAAGCCAATTTTTGTAATTTTTAGCTATTAATATATTTTTAAGTGTAAATTAACTTACCCCCGATCCATATCATCTGACATGTGGTGCATCATGCGCTTCAGCGTCGTGTTCGACAGCCGAAATTCCGCCATCACCGATTCGAGCTAAAAATTCAAATTAGCCTCAATATCGTGGTCTTGTAGGCCGGATTAAGTGCCCAGAATTTCCCAAAAAAAAACTACACTACACTACCCACTACACCATACACCAGATGACGATAGGAACCGAGCGGAATCGTGAGGCGAACTTACCACCCGGAAATGGCCCCCGGTCCAGGTGCCCGTCTTGTCCTGGGAGCACGGTAGATGGGTTAATTTTTAGGTTAGAGACTTTCCCAAAGTAACCCTGCTAGCTTGCCCTTTCCTAAAGAATCTCTGCTAGCCGACCCTTTCCTAAAGAATCTCTGCTAGCATGCCCTTTCCTAAAGAATTTCTGCTAGCCTGCCCTTTCCTAAAGAATTTCAGCTAGCCTGCCCTTTCCTAAAGAATCTCTGCTAGCCTGCCCTTTCCTAAAGAATCTTTGCTAGCCTGCCTTTACCTAAAGAATCTCTGCTAGCATGCCCTTTCCTATAGAATCAAATCTCGGCTAAAAACTGCTATGTAACTAGCATTTTTAAGCTTACAATCCCATTTAAAACTCACCGAAATGAATTCATTCTCAGCCAGCCTTGCTTTGCCAGCCTGTCGTCGCAAATCTTTAGAAATAAATTTCCCGACATCACCGTGGCTGTCCTGAATGTATGAATTATGGCTGGTCCCTATGAAAAAAACACAGACAATTACAGAAAAATCCGTTACACTTCGTTCCGATTTTGTGGCACCGTCCAACCGTCGCCTCACGGCACAGGCCAATTCCAGCATGCCGAACATTTTAGAAACTGAAAATAGCTGTTCAGAATTAGAGACCGAGAGAGAGAGAGAGAGAGAGAGAGAGAGAGAGAGAGAGAGATAGAGAAAGAGAGATAGAGAGCGAGAGCGAGAGAGAGCGAGAGAGGGAGAAACAGACAGAGCGAGACATTTTAAAGGTAAATCCCCACAAAAATCATCCGATTCCCCAAACAAAACCCCATACGGCCAAAAAAACACGCTCTGGCTAGCCCCATAAAAATAGCAATTTTTCTGCTGTCGAATTCCCCGGTTGGGGCAGGGGTCGGCTTATCAGTTGTAAGCCGCAGAGTTTCGGCTGTTTTCCGGGGGGAAGGTAGACGAATTAATGGTATGTCGAGTGGGTTGCAAGGAGAGGTCAAAATGCCGACAGCCAAAATGCCGACAACTAAAATTCGGATAGCGAAAATGTCGACAATCGATAATCCCGGCAGTCAAAATGCCGTTAAATTAAAATCCGGACAGGCTAAATGCCAAAATCATGCAGCCAGAAGCCCGACAGGCTAAAATCCCGAAAGCCGAAATGCCGACAAGGCCGAAATCCCGACGGCCAAAATGCCGATAAACCAAAATCCCGACAACGAAATCCCGACAATAAGATCAAAATCAAAATCCCGACAGGCAACACAGCCGTTTGAAAAAGAAGCGGAGATCAAAACGGCGTCAGGAATTTGTCGAGATTTCACCATTTCGTCGGCTTGTCGGCATTTTGGCTTATCGAAATTTCGATGTCGGCATTTTGGGCTTTCGGGGTTGTGAATGTCGACATTTTGGCTGGAACGCAAATTACGCTTACTAAGGTGATTTTTAGGTTTGACCAAAAGATTTTTAGCCGATTATAAAGCTCCTAAAACATATACCGGCGGAAAGATGTTATAAAATCAGTTAAGAAGTGTTTACATTCGAAAATGCGTCGGCTACGAGGTTCAAAAGATGTATTTTTACGTTGGGATACTATTGACAGGTGTGGAAAGGCAACGGCCGGGGGTTGATAGGTGATCACAGACAGTTGGAGAATTGAGGAGAAGGACAAAAACACAATCAATCAGTGATGCGAGGGAGCGAGAGAGAGAGAGAGAGAGAGGGAGATGCACTTGATAGGCATGGCCGAGGGCGGCGAACGATTGATATCGGGCGGAAAGGACAGCAGGCGTATTTATTTATACCAGAGGGCAGGCCAGCAAAGATAATTTAGGAATTAAGAGGTATGCTAGCAGAGATCATTGCAGATTCGAAAACCAGGCTAGCAGAGATTCTTTAGGAAAGGGCAGGCTAGCAGAGATCATTTGCGGAAAGACGAAGGTACGCACGGAGTGACAGGGTTCAAAAAGTAACTTATTTTTCGACCCAGGGTCATGTGTTCGTCTGGGCTGCTAGGCGGCCCGGCTTCTGTTTGTTTGCCGGCTAGATTGGCTGGAGAAATTTGGACGCTTTTCAGAAGGTTGTGTAGATTCAAGGGGCTTGGAAGTGAATGTTTCCACAAGAATCTCTGCTAGCTTGCCCTTGCACAAGAGCCTAGCTAACCTAAAAGCTTGCCTGGCTTTAAAACCCTAAAAACACTAAAAATTGAGGAACCCATCTGGACCCTTCCCGAAAATGAGGTAGAGCCCCTTCTTCTAGACGGGGAGCTTCAGCAAAAAAACGGAAAAGGCGGAGAGAGAGAGAGAGAGAGAGAGAGAGAGAGGGGGGGGAGGACAACGAAGGAGCCGGGGCGCTCCAGAATATTGACGCTACTTGTGGGAAACGGAGGGGCAGAAGAAGCCGATGTTCCGCCAGCATACTTTGCATGTAAACAACGGGTTTGATGCATCTTTAAAGGGGTTGGCAAGGCAAAGCTAGCAGAGATTCTTTAGGAAAGGGCAGGCTAGCAGAGGTTTTTTAGGAAGGGGCAAACTAGCAGAGATTCTTTAGGAAAGGGCAGGCTAGCAGAGGTTTTTTAGGAAAGGGCAAACTAGCAGAGATTCTTTAGGAAAGGGCAGGCTAGCAGAGGTTTTTTAGGAAAGGGCAAACTAGCAGAGATTCTTTAGGAAAGGGCAGGCTAGCAGAGATCGTGAGCAAAACCGTCAAAAAGTGCAAAAATGATATCATTCCCGGCGCCAGCTCCGCCACCACTGACCCAGAAATCTCGTTGTGGCCCCTCCAGTTTACAGCCACATGGCCAGGGGCCATGGGCCACTAGCTTCTCTGCTTCTCTAATTCTCTCTGCTCTCTCGCCATCTGACCGAAATACGTCAAAAATTGTCGGCAGACGCACATCATAGATTGTTGTCGATTTTGCGGGGTGCCGAGCTCCGGAAATTCCGGTTTAGCGAGGACTTAGGCTTAGGCTTGGTTGACTTTACTTAGCAATTAATTGAAATTTCGTACAGAAAAAGCACAAAAATTTATAGGATTTTGCATGCTTATTTACATAAATTAGGTTGCAAATCTGGCGGAAATATGCCTAAAAACCAACGATTTAGGGTTTGTTGTTGGGTGGGAATGGCGAGGCTATGGAGAGCGAGAGCGAGAGAGAGAGAGAGGGAGAGAGAGAGACGGAGAAGCGGTTGATATACACCGCCACGTGCCCCCGGCCCCGCTCTATCCAATAGCAAGGAATGGACATGCAGACAAACCACCAACAACCCGGATGGAGCCATCGATTTTGGGCGGGAAATCCTGGAGGATACGCATTAATGGGAGACTTGAGTCTCTGCGGCCCTAATTCCTGAAAAATCTTTGCTAGCTTGCCTAGGACTTGAAAAAAAACAGGACGAGAGATAACGAGGGAAGAGAGAGAGAGAGAGGGAGAGAGAGGGAGAGAGTGAGAGAGAAATCATGCGGCAAAAAAGGCAGAAACTTGTAACTAAAAACCTGATTTGAATCCGACTTCTCCACTACGAATCGCTCCCAATTACAAGTCATAACACTTGCCCGTGGCCGGCCCGCAACTGGGGCGTGTCCCGCCTGGGGGATAGCCCCCTCTGCGGCCCCTCACCCCCATGTCATTCTGGCCGAGTGGTCTAAGGCGCTGCGTTCAGGTCGCAGTCCTCTTCGGAGGGCGCAGGTTCGAATCCTGCGGATGACAGCACTTTTTGCTTTTTGCGGGAGAAGCTGTGGGACACGTTCCTTTTGCTCCTATCAACAGGGAAAATTGAATTTTGTGTAGAATAGGCGTTTATTGCCAGGTATAAAGCTAATAAAGATAGATTTAGCCATGACAAGGCGGGAAAACCTAGAAACCGTTTTTAATCGTTGAAAATTCGAGAAATAAAAAAGAGGCTAATTCCGGCAATTCCTAGCTGCAAATAGGCGCCTCCCGGAACGCTTCCGGCCAAACAATCGGTCAGAAAACGGCAGGGGCACTGGGGATGTCTGAAAAACCCCTCGAGGGCGGGTGAAATGTTTTTCGAGCCAACGCCTCCCCTGAAAGCTAAAAGCTTTTGGATGGCCCGGAAAATCGATTACAGAAAAGTCCATTTTTAATAGAGGGATTCCCCCCTGTTTGTATTGAACGGAAAGAGTCTCGAAAGCTAGGCCTAAGCCAAGCCCAAGCCCAAGCCTAAGCCAAGACTAAACCAAGCCTAAGCCTCAGACAAATTCCAGGCCTCAGCCTAAGCAAACCTACGCTACGCTTGAGCCTAAGCCTAAGCCTAAGCGTAATTTTTCGATCAGCTACTCGCAACCTGAGCTTCCAGACGCCACGCTGCCTCGACAAGTCTCCCCAAATCGCCGCTTTGTCCCGGAAAATCGAAACTCCGCGGCGTTACTATTGACAGTTGATCTAACAGAGTCAGGGACACACAAAAAGTGATCAACTCCTCCAAATCGGCGCGCGTCACCCGGGCTTTTCCCCAAATTGGCGCGGGATGAGAGATTCGCCGGGATTTTTGAGCGGATATGGAGGCTTTCGGCGGAGAGAGAGAGAGAGAGAAAGAGAGAGAGAGAGAGAAAGAGAGAGATAAACATCCATTATACTATCCAGCTATCCCGAAATCACAGTGTTGGCGAGCTTTATCCGTTTTTGTTGATTCGGCCCCCAAATCTATCCCCTTAAAAGGGCCACCAACCAGGGGAGGAGATCTCAAATTTCATGGGCTATCGCTTTTTCGTTTTCACAACTTTTCGTGGCTTGTAGCTGTCATCGTCTTCAATTAAATTTTTTAATTTCCAAATGGTCACTGCTATCTTGCCCTTTCCTAACGAATCTCTGCTAGCTTGCCCTTTCC